CAAACATGTAGTCAGAAACGCTATCGTATAAGTTATCACAAACATGTAATCAGAAACGCTATCTTATAAGTTGTCACAAACATGTAGTCAGAAACGCTATCTTATAAGTTGTCACAAACATGTAGTCAGAAACGCTATCGTATGTGTCTTCACAAACATGTAGTCAGAAACGCTATCGTATAAGTTATCACAAACATGTAGCCAGAAACGCTATCTTATAAGTTGTCACAAACATGTAGTCAGAAACGCTATCTTATAAGTTGTCACAAACATGTAGTCAGAAACGCTATCTTGTAAGTTGTCACAAACATGTAGTCAGAAACGCTATCGTATAAGTTATCACAAACATGTAGCCAGAAACGCTATCTTATAAGTTGTCACAAACATGTAGTCAGAAACGCTATCTTATAAGTTGTCACAAACATGTAGTCAGAAACGCTATCTTATAAGTTGTCACAAACATGTAGTCAGAAACGCTATCGTATAAGTTATCACAAACATGTAGCCAGAAACGCTATCTTATAAGTTGTCACAAACATGTAGTCAGAAACGCTATCTTATAAGTTGTCACAAACATGTAGTCAGAAACGCTATCTTATAAGTCGTCACAAACATGTAGTCAGAAACGCTATCTTATAAGTCGTCACAAACATGTAGTCAGAAACGCTATCTTATAAGTCGTCACAAACATGTAGTCAGAAACGCTATCTTATAAGTCGTCACAAACATGTAGTCAGAAACGATATCTTATAAGTCGTCACAAACATGTAGTCAGAAACGCCATCTGTAGTTGGACCCGTATATCTATATTTAGACAGAGAGGGGTGGTGATTATGGGAGGAAGGGGGTTGGGTATTAGAAGCACGATTCTGGGAAAATTGATTGCAAGAAAGCAGCGTGGTTTTTTTAGCAACGAGAGAGAGAGAGAGAGAGAGAGAGAGAGAGAGAGAGAGAGAGAGAGAGAGAGAGAGAGAGAGAGAGAGAGAGAGAGAGAGAGAGAGAGCAACAGAGAGAGAGAGAGAGAATCAGAGAGAGATAGGGAGAGAGAGAAAGAGAGAGTGTGGGAGAATACAGATGGGAGTGTGAGAGGGTACAGATGGGAGTGTGAGAGGGTACAGATGGGAGTGTGAGAGGGTACAAATGGGAGTGTGAGAGGGTACAGACAGGAGTGTGAGAGGGTACAGACGGGAGTGTGGGAGGGTACAGATGGGAGTGTGGGAGGGTACAGATGGGAGTGTGGGAGGGTACAGATGGGAGCGTGGGCGGATACAGATGGGAGTGTGAGAGAATGCAGATGGGAGTGTGGGAGGATACAGATGGGAGTGTGGGAGAATACAGATGGGAGTGTGGGAGGGTACAGATTGGAGTGTGAGAGAGTACAGATGGGTGTGTGGGAGGGTACAGATGGGAGTGTGGGAGGGTACAGATGGGAGTGTGGGAGAATACAGATGGGAGTGTGAGAGGGTACAGATGGGAGTGTGAGTGGGTACAGATGGGAGTGTGAGAGGGTACAGATGGGAGTGTAAGAGGGTACAGACGGGTGTGTGAGAGGGTACAGACGGGAGTGTGGGAGGGTACAGATGGGAGTGTGAGAGAATACAGATGGGAGTGTGGGAGAATACAGATGGGAGTGTGAGAGGGTACAGATGGGAGTGTGAGTGGGTACAGACGGGTGTGTGAGAGGGTACAGACGGGAGTGTGGGAGGGTACAGATGGGAGTGTGGGAGGGTACAGATGGGAGTGTGGGAGGGTACAGATGGGAGTGTGAGAGGGTACAGACGGGATTGTTGGAGGGTACAGATGGGAGTGTGGGAGGGTACAGATGGGAGTGTGGCAGGGTACAGATGGGAGTGTGGGAGGGTACAGACGGGATTGTTGGAGGGTACAGATGGGAGTGTGAGAGGGTACAGACGGGATTGTTGGAGGGTACAGATGGGAGTGTGGCAGGGTACAGATGGGAGTGTGAGAGGGTACAGACGGGATTGTTGGAGGGTACAGATGGGAGTGTGGGAGGGTACAGATGGGAGTGTGGCAGGGTACAGATGGGAGTGTGGGAGGGTACAGACGGGATTGTTGGAGGGTACAGATGGGAGTGTGGGAGGGTACAGATGGGAGTGTGAGAGGGTACAGACGGGATTGTTGGAGGGTACAGATGGGAGTGTGGGAGGGTACAGATGGGAGTGTGGCAGGGTACAGATGGGAGTGTGGGAGGGTACAGACGGGATTGTTGGAGGGTACAGATGGGAGTGTGGCAGGGTACAGATGGGAGTGTGGGAGGGTACAGATGGGAGTGTGGGAGGGTACAGACGGGATTTTTGGAGGGTACAGATGGGAGTGTGGCAGGGTACAGATGGGAGTGTGAGAGGGTACAGACGGGATTGTTGGAGGGTACAGATGGGAGTGTGGGAGGGTACAGATGGGAGTGTGGCAGGGTACAGATGGGAGTGTGGGAGGGTACAGATGGGAGTGTGGGAGGGTACATACGGGAGTGTGAGAGGGTACAGATGGGAGTGTGGGAGGGTACAGATGGGAGTGTGACAAGTAACACAAGCGCACATGCCAGAATTCTCCTCTATTCGACACGGGTGGAGGGGGTCGGGCGTGGGCGATGACGAGCCTAGAAATGAAAGCCAATCGATTCTGACGTCACAGGCTACATTTCGATCCTTCTGTGGCTATTTATAGCCTGGCCTCGGCAACGTGTGGTGAAGCCGAACAGCAACCGCAAGTGCTCCAACTTCTCCTGTGTCACAGCGTGAGTGACTCGGGCTGCCCGTATCTGAAACAGCACAATAAGGCTATGACAGCAGCCACAACCTAGAACGCCGAAGCCAGAAAGAGATACGAGGTGCCCAGGCCTCAGGAAGAAGCAAGACAGCCGAGGAAACAGCCTGCACAAGAAAGAAAATACAGCCGTAGAGAACACTGAATTACTGAACGAATTCACCAGACTGAGAAACAAAATCAGAGTATCTCAGAAAAGAAAAGTCGACAAAAACGAGGCCACTGCTGACAGAATAGAGTTTCTAGACCTTATCTGACAAACGCTAGACGAAATCAACGCCCATAAGGAAGACAGGCTAACAGAAGCTGCGCAACAAACCAGGTTGCTAGCAGAAGTACACAAAAAGTTCAAGACTTGCTGTCACAGCTCAAAACGGCCCAGGACCAGGGAGCAGATCACCTTAAGGAAGGAAGAGAGAAGAGAAGAAAGGAGCTGGCCAAACTCAAAACTGCGCGAGAAGCCGCATACCGAGAAGTAGCCCAGCTGGTGCAGGCAAATCAGAGGCCGAGGCAGCAGCTTAGGCAGCCAAGAAAGAGAATCAGCCTACAAAGCAGCCAAGATAGCGAATGTCAGCGACGGAAACACCAGTGCAGTTACCTAAAGTAGACAAAGAAGAGAAGTAGCGAATGTCAGCGACGGAAACACCAGTGCAGTTACCTAAAGTAGACAAAGAAGAGAAGTAGCGAATGTCAGCGACGGAAACACCAGTGCAGTTACCTAAAGTAGACAAAGAAGAGAAGTAGCGAATGTCAGCGACGGAAACACCAGTGCAGTTACCTAAAGTAGACAAAGAAGAGAAGTAGCGAATGTCAGCGACGGAAACACTAGTGCAGTTACCTAAAGTAGACAAAGAAGAGAAGTAGCGAATGTCAGCGACGGAAACACCAGTGCAGTTACCTAAAGTAGACAAAGAAGAGAAGTAGCGAATGACAGCGACGGAAACACCAGTGCAGTTACCTAAAGTAGACAAAGAAGAGAAGTAGCGAATGTCAGCGACGGAAACACCAGTGCAGTTACCTAAAGTAGACAAAGAAGAGAAGAACTGAGCCAGACAACCGAAGATGAGCAGAGGAGCAGGAGGAGTGGAACACACCGCAAAAGCCCAAACAGTACAAACGAGGCAGACGAGGAGGTACTTAATTTATAACTTACCCCTGACGTCACGACAACATCACGGGAGACATTCCCAATAAATTCTAGGGTGGTCAGGTTGTAGTTTCTCGCGATTTCTCTACAGCCAAGTTTAGGGTTTGGGTTAGGGTTAGGGTTATGATTAGAAGACACTAGATGAACACTCAAAAAAAAAAAAAAAAAAAACAAACACACACACACCAAACAACAGCACCCTTGCACCCCTTGAAATAATGGACTGTCAGGTCAGCTGTGGATTTGCCACGGGGATTTCGTGTTTGGGGTACGTTATAAATTAAGAATCGACGAGGACGCCACCAGTACTAAAAGCCGCATTGCCCCCTCTCTGGACAACCAGCACCGCCCCACAGGTCCCAATCACCTGTTCCAGCGCCGCCCTATGCAATTTGCTAGTCCTTTTCAGGACTAGCAGACCCCCTTCTCAAAACGCAGGAAACAGCCGACCAAAAAGTTGCCAACCGAGAAGCCAGACAGCCAAGAAGCCAGCTCACTGACCAAAGGTACCTGCAGAAGACGCCCTATGCAGAAAACACCAGCACCAAACTCACAAGAGACCCCCCCCCCCTTCCCCATTTCCGCTCCAGGCCGCCCCAGGTAAAAAAAAAATGGCCGTTCTTTTAAGCACTGTCTGGTCCACTCCCAAAAACTAGAAAAAGCCAATCAAAAACCCTCCAAGCCAGACCACACTGACATGATTGAAGCAGAGAAACGAACCTTAGGCGAAATCATTGTTTCCACAAAGACATGATTTCAAGTTAAGATTGCCAAGAACCAGTCCTTAATATTGCAGGCTTTCGGGAGGCTTAAAGATGACTAAACTTGAAATGTTTGTTTTCTACAACCAGATTCAGATTCAGGATGGTAAAATGATGAATATACTGCAAGCCCTATGTGACATATATTGGAACCATATGACAACGATGATGATGATGATGCTGACAGGCGAAACAGTCAAAAATCTGCGGCACTTTGAGTGCACTGACCTCTGACCTCTGCCCAATAATTATTAGAGAGTAAGCTCCCCCTTTTACCCATGTTTACCTATGGCGGAACACATGTAGCTTTAACTCGCAGATGTGAGGCAGCCAGTCCTCGGGTCATCACTTAGTGAAGTGATCTTTGTGTGGGTACCTCCCTGGTCTGTGACTGTCTCTCTGGTGTCTGTGGGTGCCACCCTGGTGTCTGTGGGTGTCTCCCTGGTGTCTGTGGGTGTCTCCCTGGTGTCCGTGAATGCCTCCCTGGTGTCTGTGGCTATCTCCCTGGTGTCTGTGGGTGCCTCCCTGGTGTCTGTGGGTGCCTCCCTGGTGTCTGTGGGTGCCTCCCTGGTGTCTGTGGCTATCTCCCTGGTGTCTGTGGCTATCTCCCTGGTGTCTGTGGGTGCCTCCCTGGTGTCTGTGGCTATCTCCCTGGTGTCTGTGGCTATCTCCCTGGTGTCTGTGGGTGCCTCCCTGGTTCTGTGGCTATCTCCTTGGTGTCTGTGGCTATCTCCCTGATGTCTGTGGCTATCTCCCTGGTGTCTGTGGCTATCTCCCTGGTGTCTGTGGCTATCTCCCTGGTGTCTGTGGCTATCTCCCTGGTGTCTGTGGGTGCCTCCATGGTGTCTGTGGCTATCTCCCTGGTGTCTGTGGCTATCTCCCTGGTGTCTGTGGCTATCTCCCTGGTGTCTGTGGCTATCTCCCTGGTGTCTGTGGCTATCTCCCTGGTGTCTGTGGCTATCTCCCTGGTGTCTGTGGCTATCTCCCTGGTGTCTGTGGGTGCCTCCCTGGTGTCTGTGGGTGCCTCCCTGGTGTCTGTGGCTATCTCCCTGGTGTCTGTGGCTATCTCCCTGGTGTCTGTGGCTATCTCCCTGGTGTCTGTGGCTATCTCCCTGGTGTCTGTGGCTATCTCCCTGGTGTCTGTGGCTATCTCCCTGGTGTCTGTGGCTATCTCCCTGGTGTCTGTGGCTATCTCCCTGGTGTCTGTGGGTGCCTCCCTGGTTCTGTGGCTATCTCCTTGGTGTCTGTGGCTATCTCCCTGATGTCTGTGGCTATCTCCCTGGTGTCTGTGGCTATCTCCCTGGTGTCTGTGGCTATCTCCCTGGTGTCTGTGGCTATCTCCCTGGTGTCTGTGGGTGCCTCCATGGTGTCTGTGGGTGCCTCCCTGGTGTCTGTGGCTATCTCCCTGGTGTCTGTGGCTATCTCCCGGGTGTCTGTGGCTATCTCCCTGGTGTCTGTGGCTATCTCCCTGGTGTCTGTGGGTGCCTCCCTGGTGTCTGTGGCTATCTCCCTGGTGTCTGTGGGTGCCTCCCTGGTGTATGTGGGTGCCACCCTAGTGTCTGTGGGTGCCACCCTAGTGTCTGTGGGTGCCACCCTAGTGTCTGTGGGTGCCACGCTGGTGTCTGTGGCTACCTCCCTGGTGTCTGCAGCTGCCTCCCTGGTGGGTAGCTCTCACTGCCTATAGATAAACGTGTACTGTTACAAGGTTTGTGTCCTCCATTAGTAGCATTCTGTGGGAGTAGGTACATCAGTTTTTGTTTCTGTCTGTCTGTCTGTCTGTCTGTCTGTCTGTCTGTCTGTCTGTCTGTCTGTCTGTCTGTCTGTCTGTCTGTCTGTCTGTCTGTCTGTCTGTCTGTCTGTCTGTCCGTGTACACGCACTAACGTCTGTCTGCTAGTGTTTTACTCCGGACATTACTTGCCAGCAGAAACATGTTGCAGTATTGTGAACAAACCCATGTTTGTGTGTCTATGTTATCTGTGTACAGGCAGCAAGCGAGCCCAACCACCCGTGTTTACTGCAGCCCTGTGAGACATGAATCACGTACAATGTATGTTGTGTCAGTTATGGGAGAGAAATATCAGCTCCCCGAATTATATCGCATCTAATTAGTCCAAGTGTATGCAGTACAAGTGCTGTAACTGTAGTATTGCTGTGTTTGTTTTTGTACAGTACATGTGCTGTAACTGTAGTATTTTTTTATTTTTTTTTGAGTTTGTACAGTACAAGTTCTGTAACTGAAGTATTGTTGTGTTTGTGCGAGTTTGTACAGTACAGGTGCTGTAACTGTAGTATTGATGTGTTTGTGTTTGTACAGTACATGTGCTGTAACTGTAGTATTTTTGTGTTTGAGTTTGTACAGTACAAGTGCTGTAACTGTAGTATTGTTGTGTTTGAGTTTCTACAGTACAGGTGCTGTAACTGTAGTATTGTTGTGTTTGTGTTTATACAGTACAGGTGCTGTAACTGTAGTGTTGATGTGTTTGTGTTTGTACAGTACATGTGCTGTAACTGTAGTATTTTTGTGTTTGAGTTTGTACAGTACAAGTGCTGTAACTGTAGTATTGTTGTGTTTGAGTTTCTACAGTACAGGTGCTGTAACTGTAGTATTGTTGTGTTTGTGTTTATACAGTACAGGTGCTGTAACTGTAGTGTTGTTGTGTTTGAGTTTGTACAGTACAAGTGCTGTAACTGTAGTATTGTTGTGTTTGAGTTTGTACAGTACAGGTGCTGTAACTGTAGTATTGTTGTGTTTGTGTTTCAACAGTACAGGTGCTGTAACTGTAATATTGTTGTGTTTGAGTTTGTACCGTACAAGTGCTGTAACTGTTGTATTGTTGTGTTTGTGTTTGTACAGTACAGGTGCTGTAACTGTAGTATTGTTGTGGTTGCACGAGTTTGTACAGTACAAGTGCTGTAACTGTAGTGTTGTTGTGTTTGTACAGTACAGGTGCTGTAACTGTAGTATTGTTGTGTTTGTGTTTCTACACTACAAGTGCTGTAACTGTAGTATTGTTGTATTTTAGTTTGTACAGTACATGTGCTGTAACTGCAATATTACTTTGTTAGTCCGAAGTACTGTAAAGTCTAGTCTATAATGATAGCATTATTATTGCATGTAAGTGTAATTGAGAGGTTACTCACAAGTCAGTCATGACTATGTTTACGGATGTACTAGCAAGTTCTAATACTCCACTGCTACCGAAGATGATAACAGTAAATGTTGGGTGGGTAGCTACCGATCTCAGCGGATGGGTGGTGTTCACATCCTGTCTGTGCGTGCTTTCTGCAGGATACAAGTAACGTTTTTCGCCGCAGAAAGAGAGGAACTTCCCTCTGTCTGTCTGTCTGTCTGTCTGTCTGTCTGTCTGTCTGTCTGTCTGTCTGTCTGTCTGTCTGTCTGTCTGTCTGTCTGTCTGTCTGTCTGTCTGTCTGTCTGTCTGTCTGTCTGTCTGTCTGTCTGTCTGTCTGTCTGTCTGTCTGTCTGTCTGTCTGTCTGTCTGTCTGTCTGTCTGTCTGTCTGTCTGTCTGTCTGTCTGTCTGTCTGTCTGTCTGTCTGTCTGTCTGTCTGTCTGTCTGTCTGTCTGAATGAATGAATGAATGACTGTCTGTCTGTCTGTCTGTGTGCGTGCGTGCGTGCATGTATGTATGCATGTAGGTATGTACGTGAGTGTGTGTGCGTGTATGAGTGGGTGTGTGCGTGCGTGTGTGCGTGCGTGCGTGTGCATGTATGTGTACGTGCGTGTATGTATGTGTATGTGTATGTATTTGTGTACATGTGTGTATGTGTGTGTATATGTATATGTATGTGTGTGTATGTGTGTATGTGTGTGTATATGTATATGTATGTGTGTATATGTGTGTATGTTTGTGTATGTGTGTGTATGATGTATGTGTGTGCATGTGTGTGTATGTGTGTGTATGTGTGTGTATATGTATGTGTGAGTGTTTGTTTGTGTGTATGTATGTGCGTATGTATGTATACGTGTCCGTATGTATGTGTGTATGTATGTGTGTATGGATATATGTATGTGGATGTGTGTGGGTGTATGTGTGTATGGATATGTATGTGGATGTCTGTGGGTGTATGTGTGTATGGATATATGTATGTGGATGTGTGTAGGAGTATGTGTTTATTGGTTGCCTACGTGCGGTTGTATGTTTCTGTTGGTTGCCTGTCTGTGGGTGTAAGTGAGTGAATGGGTCTGCGTGTGTATGTGGGTGTGTGTGTGCGTGCGCGCGAACGTCCGCGTGCATTTTACCACTCATGCTTCTGATTTTACTTGATATTTATAATATGCCTATTATTACATGAACATCACATGCTTTATTGATAGAATACAACTGCTGTGTGAAAGATTGGTGTTTGTAGGGCCTGCGTGCCTAATTTGTGACCATTTGAAAAAAAAAAATTTGGTTGGTTCGCTCGTTTTCCTGTGTTGCCGAGTGTCATGTATTCCTTATTCTCAACGCTCGTTTTCCTGTGTTGCCGAGTGTCATGTATTCCTTATTCTAAACGCCTTTTTTTTCTTTTCTCGCGGTCTCACCGCTCACTTGCATGCTTATTTTCACCTTCTGCTAACTGCGCCACGGTTCTGGAGGATGTAAACTTGGAAGTTTGTCTGTTCCTACATTCCTTGTCAATGATTTCTCTATTTCGTATAAGGCCACTGCCAACGTACGTGGAAATACAAAAACATCCAAGTGTCGATACTCACGAATCGTCACGCCTGCTGCACTTCCCCCTGCAGCACTTCTTACTTGTAAACAGGCGCCTGCGGCACCTCAACCACACAACAACAAAACCTCCTGAAAACATTACAAACGGTGAGCGAATGTCGAACCAAGCCATTTCATAACATCCCTGCAAAATAGGAGAGGAACTGCGACTCGACGAGCCATGAATGGGAAGGGAAGTCACTCTTTCTGCAGCAATAAAAACCTTACTTGAACTGACATTACTTATTTGTAGTGTATGCCTTAACGGGACTTTCCCACTTACACTCGTATAGTAGCACTTGCTGATTTGTAGTCTGTCTGGCTAATGGGACTTTCCTACAAACACTCGTATAGAAAGAAGACCTTGCTTATTTGTAGTCTGTCTGGCTAATGGGACTTTCCTACAAACACTCGTATAGAAAGAAGACCTTGCTTATTTTGTAGTCTGTCTGGCTAATGGGACTTTCCTACAAACACTCGTATAGAAAGAAGACCTTGCTTATTTGTAGTCTGTCTGGCTAATGGGACTTTCCTACAAACACTCGTATAGAAAGAAGACCTTGCTTATTTGTAGTCTGTCTGGCTAATGGGACTTTCCTACAAACACTCGTATAGAAAGAAGACCTTGCTTATTTGTAGTCTGTCTGGCTAATGGGACTTTCCTAAAACACTCGTATAGAAAGAAGACCTTGCTTATTTGTAGTCTGTCTCTGTCGTATGGCTAATGGGACTTTCCTACAAACACTCGTATAGAAAGAAGACCTTGCTTATTTGTAGTCTGTCTGGCTAATGGGACTTTCCTACAAACACTCGTATAGAAAGAAGACCTTGCTTATTTGTAGTCTGTCTGGCTAATGGGACTTTCCTACAAACACTCGTATAGAAAGAAGACCTTGCTTATTTGTAGTCTGTCTGGCTAATGGGACTTTCTTACAAACACTCGTATA